GGCTTATATTCTAAAGAGGAGAGAAACCATTTTACTCAGTGATATGAGGAAAATAAGATGGGAAAAATGGAGAAGATAAAGGACTGCATATAGTTACCATGTTAGTGGAATTCTTTCAGAGAATGGAGAGTTGGGATGATCCTGATCGATGGTCTATGTCCAGGTCCAGCCCGGGGAAGATCTCGTCCAGACAGAGAGGTCTGAACATGCAAAGGTCCTGAGGCATGAATTATTCAAGGAGCAAATAGTAGGGCAGTGTGGCTGGAGGTCTGTGACCAGAGAGGAGGGTGTGTATTACGGGAGGGAGGCCTCCCTCCCTTAGGATGGAGGATCCCAAGGGTCCATTCCAAGGATGAGTGTGAGGGCTTGGGCCACCTGGGCCACTGTGCCTAATGGAGAAGTTGGATCTTGAGTGACAGAAATTTTATCCTGGGACTAAGAATGTGTATAAGAAGGTCAAGGCCAGGGGCTGAGGGGAGACAGAGAGGATAACTATACATATCTCAAAGATCACTGGTGTTTATTATCATTGGCACAGGTCCCTGGAACCCTCTGGACCTGGTGGAAGGCAGGTGCTCTCATTCCTTCCTCCAAGAGGGGTGAAACGCTCAGGGTCCAGTGGTCTGTGGGGCCTGTTGAAGTCTCAGTCCTTCGGGGGCCATCTTGGGGAGGGACTGTCTATAAATCGACCTTCAGGATTGCAAGCTCCTTGTCAAATTTGACAGTGAGTGTGAAGAATGGAACAGGGTGAGATGTGACTCTGGAAGTTGGTCTTTGTGGGAATTGACTTTGAGGGGGAGGCTAGAGTGCACAGACATGGGGTTATGGAAATGCAGTAAGGATCATTGTGGCCGTGCAGTGGCTGCAAGTCTCCTTGGGACAGCGAGTCTCTGCACCCCACTATGTGTTCTGCCAGTATTTTACAATGCCACCTCCCATACAAGAGAGACAGGGTCTCTGAGTAAGATGAGGTGTCCTTCTGGGGCCTGGACATGGTGTGGGGCAGCAGGACAGAAGGTCCAGGGGGCTGTCCACGAGAGCTGGGCTGGGTCCTGAGCTCACTCGCATTCTGTCACTCAACCTCATTTGTCCATACTGCTTTTGGAAAGGCTGCCCAGCTCACACAAGTCCTGCATACAGAACACAGTCCTGTCTGGTCACAGTTCTGTCTTCTGGCGTCTGTTATCACTGCCTTTACTCTTTGATTTTCCTTTTGTCCTTGGCTAAACTTAAAATGTTGTCTGTTTTATTTGTTTAAGTAACTGTTTATTTTTCTTCTTCAGTAAGTAAGTTCCTCTGTACTTAAAAATGCTTTTTAGATTTACATATTTTCCTGTTTACTTTGGTTTATCTTTTATTACCTTATGCCAAGTACTTAATTAATGTCTCTCTCTTTTATTCTTTCTCTATATTTAGGACAGGGTCTACAGGGTCTCACTATGTAGATCAGACTCAGAGTGATTCTTCTGTTTTCAGCCTCTCGAGTGCTGTGATTATAGGCATGCACCACCACCACACCCAGGCTCAATCGCCATCTCAGTGTGCCCCAGGGGTGGGGTCAGCATGGTACGCTGGGATTGAACCCCAATCCCAGTGTTTACCTAAGCAGGTGCTTTAATCCTCAGAGCTAGCTGGCCGGCCCATTTTCTCCCTCTTTTAAAAGCTGCTAATTCTACACAATTTTCTTATGTACTGTGATACAGGGGGACAGATCTTCTACAGCTGAAAAAGGGATCCAGAGGAGTGAGGGGAGGGGTGGGAGAACGCAGAGCTGAGACGAGCTACGTTTGCTAGTGTACCAGCTCCTCACACTGAATGCAGGCCCCACGATCAACAAACGTGGGCTTAGGAAAATGAAAATTAAAGACCTAAACAAATTCCAGTGGTTTCTATATGGGGCACCCTAAGTGCAGTTCATTTTCTGTTCTGGTTTCTTTGCTTAGCTCCAGGTTTACTTGGCCAGAGATTTAGCCACCTTGGTTCTGTCGTTTCAAACTTTGGGTTTGTGGAAGGAGAGCATATTGTGAAGGATTTCCATTTTAAGAGATACAGCTTTGATTATGATCACTTTTAATTGTTCTAAGGATGTACAAAGGGATATAGGTCACCTGTGGGGATCCAGGGATGTACGCTTGGACACAGCACACATGCTGTCATGTGTGTGCCTGGGGTGGGGTCCTCTACAGACGCAAAAGTCTGTGGGTGCCCCATTCCCTTTCATCGATGGCCTAGTGCAGGCATGTAGCTTACTCACACCTTCCCTCTACTTTCCTTCCTCTCTAGGTTAGTTAGAACCTCTAATGCCGTGCGACCCTGTAGAAATAGCAAACAGCGAGGCTGCACTGTTTATGGAACAGTGACAAGAAACAGTTTTTCACTGTGTTTCCTGGGTGGGCTCCAGCCTGGGCAGGGACGGGCAGGAGGAGTTCACTGGGTGTGCAATTTACGATGTGCTCTGGACAAGGGGGGACATGGGGAATGTGGGGCCCATGGCAGTTCAGGACCCAGCAACGCAGGCCAGCATGGTGGGCAGGCTGAGTTTCCATCTGGGGTCACTGAGAAGTGAATGAGGATTGGCAGAGAGGAGGGGGTGGCCACTGAAGGAAAGGTGCTGAGCTGGGGCATGTGGGATCTGGGTGCCTGAGGGGGCCCCTCTGGAGAGGTCTAGTAGACTAGTGGGTGCATCCGTGATGCCCTGAAGGCAAGGCTCTGGGAACTTGAAGACAAGCCAGGAAGTGGGTCATCCCAGAGGTGATAGGCACCACTGTGGTGGGGATATAGGGCATTGCTGAGGTTTGTACAAAACCAGTGGGGCAGGGAGCTTCAAGGGCAAGGGCAAGGTGAGGGTGAATATAGCCAGGGTACCTCCTTGTATTCCTGGTCTGTGAAGGCTGAGCTAGTACAAGGGCAGTGGGGACTCTGACAGCAGCTCACTTCCGGTGTGTAAGGCGAATGACTCGGACTTCTGGTGTCCGTGGCTGAGCTACTGCCTGCTGGTCTGAATTCTCCTGCACAGTCAACCACGGCCTCTGTATGCTGTTTCCTCTTTTTTGGATTAGACCTGTCCCCTGGGAAAACAACCCACTTCTCAGGGCTTTGGTTTTATGTACTGTTGATCTATTACTTTATTTCTCTAATCGCCTTCCCACAGTCAATGACTTTTACTACCTGCATCTAAAAACAACCCCTGAATTCCAAAGCACGAGGTCACTTGTTTACAACAAAGAAAGCCACTTGTGACGGGGTGGGAAGGGAAGGACAGGGCAGAGCCAGTCTCCCTGCTCTGAGGACACTGGCTCCATGGCAACGTGGCTTTTGCTCACCTTTGGTTGGTGGTGTGGCCTCTGCTGTGGGTTAAACTGTAAAGCTTTTCACCACATTGGGAGCTGACTTGAAGCTTTCTTCTGTATCCTTGAGCCACAGGTGGGCAGGGGTGACAAGCGCCAGCCTCAGGCATGGGTTTCCGGAGTGTCAGCTTTGCTCCTCAGAGAGCAGCAGCTCCGTGTGGTGGCCAGTCCATCCAGGCCCTGCTGCATTTAATTAAGATAATTTTCCTACTTGGCTCCAGATGTGGTGATGGGATTCCATTTTATTGTGTGTAGAACCCGTTCTTCCAAGCGTGTGTCACTGGAATGGAATGAGGCCACACATTGAATATGACAGGTCTGTGTTCTAGGAGGGAATTGCTGAGGCCAGAACGAGTCCCAGGCCTTTCTTCTGTGCCTGCAGTGGGGCTGTGGCTAGTGAGGTTATGGAACCCAAGGACAGATGTCACATGGGAGAGAAGCTACAGAAAAAGTCACAGGCTTGTGTCAGAGAAGACAGGCTTTGGTCTGCCAGAAAGACCCAGGCTACATCTTCTGCCCTCCTTCACAGTCAGTGGCCAGTGTTAAGGTAATTCTCATACCCCTCACGGTCTGCAAGGCTAGTGTCACATCACTAGCCTGGGTGGAGGATGCCCAATGGCTGGTAGATGCTGTTTCTGGGGCTCTGTGAGGGTCTTGCCAGGAGAGGTCAGCAGGTCAGTCAGCAGACAGAGGACAGGTGAGTTGCCCCACCAGGGGGAGGATCCCAGCCAACTTGCTGAGGATCCAGATGGGCTGAAAGGCAAAAGGAGGGTGAATTCTCTTCTGGTGTGGGGACATCCATCTCCTGATTTCGTCCACATCCAGACGCCTGCAAACCAGACAGAGTCATTCCACAGTCTCCCAAACCTCCAGGAGTAACAGCAGATCTTGGGACCTCCCAGCCCCTGAGCACATTAGCCGATTCCCATAATAAATCTCTCCTCACATCTCTATATATCTGATGTGCTCTTCTCTGGAGAAGCCTGGTTTTCTGGAGGCAACAATGTTGTCACCATTTGAGTGTGGAGAATCCCAGAACATGAGACCCAGTGGCCTAGAACTGCTGCCTGGATTTCCTCCACGCTCTCTCTCCAGGAGTGATGGTCTTGTGGGGAGACCACACAGCCTCCAGAGGGCTGCTGGGCAGGGCTGTTGAGAATGCCTCGGTTAGACCATCTTGAAGAATCCCTAGTCACTGAGCACTTCTTCCTTTTGTTGTAGTTTCTTCTCCTGGAGGAACACAGCACACCTAACATCCCTTTCTAAGGCTCCCTCTTCTGTAGCGCCCAGGGATCCCAGGGACTGGGCAGATCCTTGTCCTCTGAGTGAGGATCTATGAACAGGGAATGGAAGGACAGACATCAAGCTAGGGCTTGATCCTCTGTAGTTCAGGGAGGGTGACACACCAAGACACCAGAGGCCAGGACATCATTCAGATATCCTGGAAAGATCTAGACTATGATGCCACTGTCTTCTGATTATTATTGCTCTGCCTGCAGGTGGAGTTCCGGGCCAGTGGCACCCATAAGGACTTATACTGCCACTGGGGAAATTGCAGCTCCAGCCTCCGCCCTGCCTCTTGCTCCCTGCCCCAGGCCTATCTGCAGGGTCTGCAGAGGCCTCTGTGTAGCAGGAGCTGACCCTGGGCAGCCTGGCCTAGGCTGAGGCCCCGGGAGCTTCTGGAAGCTGGGCACATGCAACCCACACAACAGGGTTGTGTTTCTTGCTGTTTATTTCTCACGCCAGGGGGTCAGCAATGTGCCCAGTGGACATCTTGCCTGGCCTGGGAGGTAACACAGATGTGGGCAGAACTGTGTTTGTGTGAGCGACTGAGAAGCGGGACCAGGAAAGAGGAAAAGAAATGGGCTTCAGTCGTGTGAGGTCCCGGAGGTGTCCTGGCTGTGTGGAGGCATCTTGTCTCTGGAAGGGAGGCTGGCAAGACTGTTGGCACAGAGCTGTTCTAGGTGTACCAGGGAGTGCCAGTTTCTTGAGGAACAACACCCTGACCTGCTGCGGGAGATTACCAGTATGCAGTGGTGGCCGTTCGCATGCCCATGGTCATCCAGCCCTGCTTTCCACAGAGGGACCGAGCACAAGCACTGAACACATGTAACCAGAATCAGGCTGGGAGGCTATCAGAGGGCGATGAGTGCTGCCGCCAACTGTGCTGGGGCAATAGAACATGGGCACTGGCGCACTTCTATAGAACGGAGGTTGATTCCACATAGTTCTGGAGGTGGAAGTCCAAGGTCGAGGGGTCACATCCAAGGAGGTTCCTGCTGTGTGATGGGTGGTGGAGGGTGGGGGGCAAGGGTGTGGCTGTGAGGAGGACAGAGGCTCAGCTCCTCCTCCTGCAGGAGTCCTGCTGCAGCTGCATCTGTTTCTGCGGCAGAGCCCTAGAATCTGTGCCCAGAGCTCTCTATAGTGCCACCATTCAGTCCAGGCTCCAACACATCAGGTTAGGGGACAGAGTCAAACCTCAGCTGGGGCAGTGTGGGTTGGGGAAGCCCCATGGAGAGGTGACATCTGTGTAGGGACCAGGTGATGGCCAGCAGACAGGGTCTTTGAGGCTATATAGGAGAGCGAAAAGCTGGGATCCATGCTGGACTCCAGGGATGGTGCAGTGCAGCACTGCCCCTGGTGTGGCTTTCTCTGTCACCTGCATACCTCGTGGCGTTGTCTATGGGTCAGTACTGTGCCTTGGTCAGTGGAATGCCCAAATGAAAACATAGGAAGGACAATCACATCTGCATTTCAGATGAATGCCTTTTTAGTTATAAAAATAGTAAAGATAAAGATATTATAGTTATTGTGGTAGCAAATGTAGACAGGAAAAGGAAAGACCAAGGCCATAGCTCCCTTGTAGGGGAGGAGCCTAGGTGGACATGGTGGCTGGACTGATTGAGTCCCACCTGTGCTGTGGCTCTCACCCTGCACTTGTCTGCTTTGTCACCTCAGCTTTGCACGGAGCCCTACCTGTCCATGTGGGGTGATGGACCCAGCCCCACATGCAGACAAGGGTGGGGTTGGCTGAATGTGGATGGCTGGCCTGGCTCTTTCCCTCCGCAGGACTCCCAGTCAGTGACCACTGAGGACCCCACACTTGACCCTAGAGCTGGCTCAGCTGTGGGCAGAGCAGGGCCCTGTGGTCAGGCGAGCTGTATGCTAGCTGGGGTATAAGGAGCTAGGCCTTGACCAGGTGATCAATGTCTTAGCTAAGGCAGACAGTGGCAAGGGTCAGCACCTAGGAGGTTGTGAGGATTAAGAGAGTTAATACAGAGAAGGGCATTAGTTAAATTCCTGGCCTATAGCAATATTTTAAAAACCTTCCTGAAATACATAGTATCTATTTGGGGCCGACTGCACTACAGATGACTTCAGACCAGGCAGCAAATTAGAGGTGGAGCCATGACTATCAAAACGGCCGCCCAGACCCAAGCTGATTTATTTCAAGCATAGCAGCGGTGAGTTCCTGTTATTGTAATGAGTCACAGAGAGCGTGCACCCAGATGCAGGGCTGGGATCGTGGGGTGGCCAAGCAGCTGGGTAACGAGAAGCAGACACTCCCAGCATCCTAAGGAGGCCTGCGGCCGCTGGACCTGCAGCCCAGTCACACAAAACAGCATGGAATGGAATCCAGTTTTTTAATGAATATTTTCCCTAAATGATAAGGCACTGCATATGTTTCTTTTCCCATTGTGTAGCAATTTCTTCCAAAGCAAACATCTTAAAGATTTTTAACGGAGGTTGGCAAACTCAACTAGCCTGAATATAAGAATGTCAAAGCCATCTGCTAGAAAATCATGGCTCTGCCATATAAAACATGCAGAACTGGACTGCTTCAGCTGATTTAAACACAAAATACCATTTCCTGGACCCAAAGGGAAACATTTCTACTTGGCCAGTAGGGCTTTCTGGAGAAACGCAGTATATATTTGCAGAATGGTATATTAGTAATTTTGAATTTCAAAGAGAAAGCAGAGCAGGGAATTTTGGAAAGCAAACATCGAAGGGATCGCCATTTCAATTCTTTGCAGATGACGCTGAGAAAAAAGATTTCATCAAAACTGCTCTGACAGAAATTGGGAGTTATGACCTGTGATTCGGAAGGAGAATAATTGAATTGTGCTGTTTAGACTTTGTTTTGCACACATTTAATAATTAAGTACTTTCCTTACCAGGAGACCGAAAGCCACTGTGTCAATGTGATATCAGAGTTGCAGCCAAGGCAGGCAGTGCACACAGCCTGTGTCCTTGCACCATGGGGCACGGGGTGACAACACATACACATGCACACTTGCATGCAGGCAAGGCTTGCATGCAGTACATGTCCACACACCACACACACATGTATAATATTCATGTGAACACATGCACATATGTGCACTCAGGCGCACACACAATACATATTCATACACATGCACACACATAACAATTCACATATGTACACACATGCACACACATATACACACAAATACATGTATGCACATACACACAGGCATGTGCACATGCACACATTTTTCTTATCAGAATCTTTTGCTGAGCGAAGCTGTCTAATTGGCTCTGGAGGACAGGCTGCACATTCATTGGCATAAATTGAACTTATTCCAATATTAATTGACAGCTGTTTTCCCAGTGTTTGTGTATAAAATGGTCTTCAGGGAATGAGCAGGTTTTTAAATGTGCCCCACTTCCATATTTGGGAAAGAATATGGAATATGTTCTATATTGAATGAGTATGGAATATATTTATAAAATGTTTCCCATGCTATTTAGTAGTTAGGAATTCAACGCTAACTCCACTCTTTAGATACATATCCACACATTCTGATGATATTGATTGTGTGTATTAACTGATATTTTAACAAATGAGTCTCTGAATTGAGAGTTTACAGATCCTCAGCACCACGTTGGGCGTTCGTTCTCCCACTGAAGGGTGATCCAGGCAGCAAGAGCACCAAGGCTCCCTTCCCTGCCGGCTCCACATGCAGTTTGCCCTTCCAGCCTGAGTGCCTCTGTCTCCAAATGCCCCCTCATCTGTTGCTATGTCCCTAGCCCAGCTTTCTGGGCCGGACAGAATGTGTGCTGCACACTGACTCAGAACTTCAGCCAAGAGCTTATCCATCGGTTCCCTCTCGCCATCACTTTCCATTTCTTCTTTGGTCAGCCTTTCACTTTAATCCAGGTTTTCAAGTGTAAGTGGGGGTGGGGTGGGGTGGGGGGGCGGTGGGCGGTGGGGGGAGTGGGGTGGGGGTGTGGGTGGGGGGTAGGCGGTGGGCGGTGGGGGGGCAGCAGCTGGGTTCCTGTCCTGAAGGCCAACACCAGCATTTCCTCTCTGGGTGCCCAGAAGCACTCTGGTTTCTGGAAGGACTGCAACACCCACTCATATCCTAGTATGCGTGCAGCCAAAGTTTTTCGCTGGAGTTCACAGTTGAGATCTGCTGTCCCTCCTCCTGTTCCCACATGTACCCTGGGCCTTATCAGATGGCAGCACGTGCTGGGGTTCTGCCCTGGCCCTGTGTCTCCAGGGCCCGAGATTTGGGTCTCCCTCTAGGCTGTTTTCTCTCTATCACAGCCAGGATTTCCCTGTCTCAATGCCTTACCTTGTTGCACAGGGCAACCCGCGTAACCTCCTCCTTCCCAGATTCCCCATGGCCCTGGAAGGCACATGGATGTCGCTCTGAGATCTCATCCATCAACTGATGGGTCTCCATTTCCCACCATGGCTGGCAAGGAATAGCTCTGTAGCAAGCAGCCTGAGGCTTGGGAACCAGCCTTCTGGAAAATCCAAGGATTTGTCTTGGGGAGCCTGGTCTGCTTCTATGTTTTGGGCCACACAGGGTTGCGTTTCATTGTGGATTCCAACCTAGACTACTGACTAGCATTTACTACAGTATCCTGGCATTCACCACACAGTATAAGAACCCAAGACACTGGAGGTGACATGAAAACCAGTGTGACAGTTGAGCTCACTTGTGAGCTTGGTTGTTTTGGGAACCGCCCCTGGAGTTTAATAAAACATATTCTTGGGGATGTCTGGTGTGTGGTGGGCCATGGCCTTGGGTTCCATCTGGTCCGTGGACCTTTCTTGGACACTGTTCCCTGCTTGGCTTCTCCATCACCCTGAACCAGCTTTATTCCACCAGTGCCCTTCTGCCATGATTTTCCTGGCTTGGAGCTGGCTTACCACAGACTAAAACTCTGGAAACCATAAGCCAGAGCCTCTTCTCCTTTAATTCCTGGGTGTCCACTGTTTGGTCCCTATGATAGGACAGCTGACTTCTATAACCAGTACTTTTAAAAACTTAAATCTTATATGCAAAATGATATCCAGTAGAAATATAGTTTCTAATAGAAGACATATATATTAGCAAAACACTGTACCTACTAGACCTGTCTAGCTTTCCAGCAGCTACAAACTTCAGTGCTAACTTTCAGCTCAGCTCCCAGGAGAAGGAGAACTCAAATGGTAAGAGCAGGGCTGGCCTCAGGATTTGGGCTTCTGAGCTCTGGCCACTGCTCCAGTCCCATGTCAGAAGCTAATAGTGTTCACTGTTCACGTAATAGCCCAGCAAGTTTGCCTGTGGATGAGACAACTTCTTAATTATTTTTGCTGTTGATGAATGAATACATAAAAGAGGGCTTGCTGAGGCAAAAGGCCAATGCCACTTCTCTCACATGATGTCATAGAAGTGTGTGGTGGTGCAGCCTCCAAATCTGTGGCTGCTCATGCTGCGCTGACCTCCCAGTAGGTGCCGCCTCAGTGTGCTTCATTACAAGTCATCTGCCCCCTTGTTTTCCCTTTATACACATTGACCATCTGTGTTACCCCTGCCAGACTTTCTGTTCAGACTTCTGGCCATGTGGGGGGAATAGTCCATCTTTTCTTACTGATTTATGACATTTGAAAATTTAATGATTGCATGAAGGTTTTTCTGGCATGTGGTTTAAAAACACTTTTGTAGTTCATTCTATGAGCTTAAAGGTTATGCTAATATTTTACAACCTGCATCTTTTCCCTGCATCAGATGTGGCTTAGCCCTCAGTCATTTTGCTCCAGTTTCTGCAGCGTCTCCTGCAGCGACATCGCTACTGAAAATACATGGTTTCTGAGCTGGCAACGTTACCTGCTATGCTGGCAATGCTTCTCAGAGGAAGAGCGGGGCTGTTTGCACATCACGTTATGAGGTTGCTTTTGGCTTTACAGATTCTACTCCCAGGCACCATGACTTCTTTTTAAATTTACCTTTGTTAAGGAAAATACTACACATAGAGGTAGGAAAACAGAGCAGTAAAACGAAACCTCACTTGGCCATCTCCGCCCACTTCAGGACCTATCACCACACAGCCCACTCATTTCATCCACTCCTTTTTTATTGCCTGGAGTATTTGCAGCAGATTCTAGGTATCATATTTCACCCACAAATAACTCAGCCTCTATCTCTAGCAGAAAAGGCTTTAAACACCAATCCTGTTATCTTCACACGTTGTACAGCAATCATTAATACTGAGAAAGAAATTGTGTAGACTTCACAGCAACTCTATGCTTTGGGGTACAGGAGGTGCAGGTCAGACCCCCACCATGCTAGCCTGGTGTCCTATGTGTCAGTGACCTGCACCATTTCTCCCTTGTGCACCATCCTTGGGTCACCATCCTTGTCCTGTAGTGTGTGTTGTGTGTCTGAGATTTAGCTGACCACTCTTTCCTTGAAGACACTTTTTATTTTTTGTGCTCCCTGGGAATGGGTGTAATATCCCAGGCCTGATCGCATACTGTTTCTTTTGAAATTCTTTTTGGCAGGGGGACTTTACATAGTTGCCACATGCTTCCTCATGAGGGAAGCAAAGACACCTGGCCATGCCACTTTCCATGCTGGTGAGATCACGGGTGGTTGAGGAGCTATGGACCTGGACCCTCTCGTCCCTGCCTTTCCATCCTTCACTTCCTGCAGGGTTCGAGTGTGGTGGGCAGGTGGCTGGGGCCCTGTGGGAGCCAGTGTTGGTTTGGCATGGCGCTTGTACATGGCTGGGGTGCTTGGCCTCTCCAGTCTGATTTGCTCACCAGCCCTGTGCGAGCCTGCTTTATGTATGGTGCCATCTGGGAGTGGCATTCCCAGATGGGGGCACGGGAGCTGGGTGGCAGCTGTGATTTGCTGGTGCCTGCTCCAGCAAATGGGCTTGTTTAAAGAACCTTTTAGGTCTTTGTTAAGCTGGATCCTAGGATGAGTTCCTTATAGCTCCTCTGGCTGGGGGGTGGGCAGAGTGTTTTTTGTCCCTGTGTCACAGCTTGGCAGAGGTGACGTCCTGCCAGGGCTGGGAGCAGTGGGCACGACTGACAGGCCTGGAATCCATGCTCACTTTTAAGGTCCTGGTTTGGAACACTTGCCACGCATGTCACCATGATGAAGATGGATTATAATGACTATACTTTGGTAATTCCCTTACTCTATGGAGCCGTGTCCCAGCCAGGTCCCATCTGGTTCCAATCATTGGGAAGGGAGCATTGCATCTAGATGGAGGGCAGAAGGGCTCTGTCTGCGTCTGCAGGGAGCACCGAGCGGTGGAATGTGGACCACCCGCCAGGTTCTGTGGTTGCCTTATGCCTTTTTGCCACTTAGCAGGGATCTCCTACCAGGTGCCCAGCTTGGTCCTAGGGCTGGGCGATCAGGGACCAGGTGAGGTACCCTGCCCTCCTAGAGAGGCTGCACACTCGAGCTGGGGGTGGGGTTAGGGCAGGCTGCCAGCAAGGAACTGATGGAATCCACAAATTACAGGGTGCGTCAGAAAGCAACACAGACCCTGGTGAAAAGATTGCAGAGTGATAAGCGCTGTTTTCCACCCTGGAAGGATGCGGGCTGCACTGTCAGGTGGGGATGGCTGGGGCAGGGGCTCAGCTGAATTCAGACCTCCCACCCAGTGAGCATTTGCTGGGCAACAACTTGGCCTCCTGGCCCAGCTGGCCCAGGTACATGAGGTTCTCCTCTGTGCCTTTAGCCAACTGTGGAGCAGAAATATTTGAAAATGTGCAGAGTTTTTCTTGTGATCTCTGAATGTCATGATAGCTTGCATAGCACGTGTATCATGTGAGGCATCCAGAGCCACGTAGAAATGATTGGAGGGTAGGGAGGATGAGGAGGGCATTTTTCAGTGGGGGACAGGGGCATCCTCATGTGTCATTCCACTTTCCCAGCATGGGGACAGAACCCAGGAGCTCAGTGTAGGAGGAAGGGCTGATTCTGACTCATAGTTTCATAGGCTTCAGACAATGAAATGGGCAACTGGGTCCATGGCTTTCAGCAGGCGGTGGCACAGAGCACCACGGCAGAGCATGTGGTGGACAAAAGTCCTTCCTGTGTGGTGGCCAGGAAGCAGGAGAGAGAGTGTGTGTGTGGGAAGAAAAATCTCAGAAACTCCTTCAAGGATATGTCCCCAAATAACCTAACTTTCTCCCACAAGGCCCTACCTCTTGAGAACTCCCTACACCCAATAAGACCATAGGCTGCAGACAGCCTTCAACACACAGCCTTGGGGACACTTACAAAACTATAGCACTCTGATTTGGGATCCTAGGGGGACCTAGAACCATGGGTACAGTGAGATGGCTCTGTTGTGGAGATCAGAAGGGCCGCCGCACCCAACCTGATCCTGAGATACTACTCTTCTGTTGCCTCCATGGAGTCCACAAGTGTCCCTTCCTCTTCAGCCCCGACTCCCACCTCAGCTTCCCCTGGGCTCCTGTGATTCCTGCATGTGAGGCAGCCCTTTCCCCAGCTCCACAGGGGCTGAAGCTCATGGGTCCCAGCTTCCCTGATGGGTGCCAGGGGTCCCTATATAAGGTCTGGCTGTCATCTCTATCACCATGGGCACTGCACCCCAAGGCCCTGTGGACAGCCACGTGTTACTGCATGTGCCTGTGAGCAGCTCTCCCTCTGGGCCCGGCGGGCTGGGGAGCCCTGGCCTTTTGTTTGCAACAGGAAGACAACTGAGTATAGCCGTTGTTTAACCTGGCTCGCACCACAGAAGGAATTGTCACCAGATGAGTCACCCCCTAACCTTCTGGCTGGAGCCAGGGCTTTGGCTTCAAGGCTGTTTACTGAAGAATGACTTTGTCCATGAATGCTCTTAGGAAATGACAAGGGACAGAAAATTGTCATTGTTTCTGGTTTAGAAAAGTGGAGACCTGGAAATCAGCGAGTGCTAGAGAGAAGGGAGTTTGTGTCCCCTGTACTGTTCAGAGTCCTGCAGAACAGTGGCTCTGGGTCACAGAGGTGACCTGCAATCAATACAGGTGCCATTCAACTGTCACCTATGTCACCTGTCATCAGCAATGCTGTCACTTGTCCCATTCACAGGTGTGGGTCCAGGTTCAGGGCTCGGGGGAGTGAAGGGGCTACCGAGAGTTGTCCTGATGGGTTCCAAGCCAGGAAGACTTTGTCCCCATACTTGGTAGGTGCCATGTCTTCATGCACTGTGGTTTGGGCTTGCTGACATCAGACTTGGCAATAATGGGGGCTCCAGGACATATGGATCAGTGCCTGCGTGGTGGACCCAGACTCCACAGTCACTCACTGACTTAGCTTCAGAGCCAGCAGAGCAAGGACCACCACAGTTCTCACACATGCATGTGCGCACATGTACAGGAAACAGAAAGCTGTGCCCAACTCCTCCACTGGGCTCCTAGGTCCTGACTTTCTCACACTCTCACTGT